GACTAGGCAGGGCAAAATGCAGACCAGCCACATCACTTCTTCCCTCCCCTCACCCTGCAGTGTGCCTGCAGCAGCCACTGCTATAGCCACGGAGAAGTCACCAACAGCCGCTGAAGCCACAGGTCAGTCTAGGCTGGACGGTGTGGCGCAGCAGCTTGGTGAGCAGTGGGGCAGTTGCCACCAGTGCAGAGGGTAGGCAACACTCACCCCAGGTCCCAAGTCCCAGTTGGGCAGCACCCCTGGCCCCAGCCCCTAATCCTGCCCTGAGGGCACCCGTGCTGGCAGCCTGAGGTGCAGCATGCACTCCCTCCTTTCTGCATCAAGCCGCTGCCACCATCATCGCCACCACAGCTGGGCAGCGCCCCCAGCTATAGCCCAAGCTGAGCTGGGACAAGCCACAGTGGGACGAGGCATCCCACACCCATCCTGGTCTTAGTAACACTGGAGATGCAGCGCTGTGACCAAGTAAGAGGCCTTTCCCGGCCATCACTATCCCAGGCAGGGTACAGTAGGCCTCGGTTACATCATGGGGGTGCTGCCTGAGTTCCCCTGCCCCATCCTGAGAGTGCCCATAGACCCCCTCCATCACTACTCTAGTCCTCACCCACACATCTCTGCCTGCCCCCCCCCCCCCCCCTGCAGCCTCGGCCCCTCAGAGGGGGACCCCAGCTGCTCCCCACCCACAGGCCCCAAAGGCCTATTTAGCCCAAAGGCCATAGGATGGAAAGCAAGTCTGAGCCAGCCCTGGCTGACTCAAATTCTCAAACCCTACCCCCTCTGGACAGGGCTCAGGGTTTCCTGCCCTTTTGCAAGCAGCCTGCCAAAGGGGGAAAATCTGTCTTTTTCTCCTTCAAAAGGGAAAATCCATGTTTTTCCACGGGAAATGGAAAACCGGAATCCCTGCTGATAAACCTGAAAGTTCATCCCTCTATAGCTACTGAAAAGAAAAGGAGCGGTGTCATCTTCCTTTCAGAACCTATTAGCTCTTCCAAAGTATAATGTAAAGT